TTTCTTTCTTTCTTTCTTTCTTTCTTTCTTTCTTTCTTTCTTTCTTTCTTTCCTTTCTTTCTTTCTTTCTTTCTTTCTTTCTTTCATTCTTTCTTTCTTTCTTTCTTTCTCCCTTCCTTCCTTCCTTCCTTCCTTCCTTCCTTCCTTCCTTCCTTCCTTCCTCCCTTTCTCTCTTCCTTCATTCTTTTCTTCCTTCCTTTTTTCCTCCCTCCCTCCCTTTTTTCTTTCTTTCTTTCCTTTGTTTTTGAGCCAGGGTCTCACTATATAGTCCTGGCTGGACTTGAACTCATGATGTAGCCCAGGCTAGCCTTGAACTTGCAACAATCCTCCTGCTTCAGCCTCCTGAGTGCTGGTCACAGGCATGTGCCACCGTGACCCGCAGACACACTATAAACTTGTTTGTTTTTTGTCTTTCTAAGACAATCTTGCAGTGAAGCCCAGGCTGTCCTTGAATTTGCAGCAATCCTCCTGCCTCAGCCTCCCAAATGCTGGGATCATAGGTAAGCGGCGTGAGGCCCAGCCCACACACCATAAATTTAACCCAGAGATCATCAACAAGAAAGAAACTAAGATCATTGCACTAAACTCCTCATTCTACAGATAAGAAAACAACCCAGAGAGGTTGAAGCATCTGCCTGAGGTCACCCAGCATCCTTGCCAGGGCTTCCCCCTTCACCACCCAAGCCTGGACTCAGGTAGGGGCCAGAAGCTCCACCAGCTCCTGCCCCTCCCCACCCCCAGGAATGTGACAGGAAGGACAGCTCGGCAGACCCAGGCCAGCCACTCAGCCTCCTCGCCAAGGCTTGGCAGTACCACCATCCTGTCTCCAGCTGCGCCTGACTCTCAGTTCTGGTTGAACTGCCGGGGAGCAGCCTCTGCCTGCCTTCCCAAAGGTGTGCTTCCTCGGACAGGGCAGGCCAGGCTGTAGGACTGCCAACTCCTAGGCTCGGCCTCTGCCCCCTTACCCTTCCTCCTGCCCGGACCCTGAGCTGAGTAGGCACCCACCTGGGTAGCTGGGGTGTGTGCACCTCAGGCAAGTGGGCACTGGGGCGGGTCCTTGCTGAAGGCTGTTCTGGCCGTGCGGGGCTTGTGCCTCCTGGTGGCCCTTAATGGACCGGAGAGGTGTGGTATAATTAGGGGTGTGGCCAGGCCCACTGGCCCTGGAGTAGCTCTGTGCTGGCCGAGGCCTCCCCCTACCCAAAGCACAGAGCAGCCATGCCTGGGCTTCCCGTGCACTGCCTGGTAGGGACAAATGACCTCCCCACCTCTCTGCTGTCTTCTCTCTTTCTTTGTCTTTCTGTACTGGGGACTGAACCAAGGACTTCTGCACTGAGCTACATCCCCAGTCCTTTTTTAAATTCTTTATTTTGAGGCAGGGTCACTAAGTCACTAACGTGTCCAGCCTAGCTCATACCTGCAGCCCTCCTACCTCCGCCTCCCAGAGCGCTGGGATCATATGCACACAGCACCCACACCTGGCTCCTGCCATTCTTGGGGATGCATCCCCTGTGTCAGAAGCAGGGACCTCTAGAGCCATCCAGACCCCATAGCTCCCACCTACCTGTGGCCTCAAGTAAGTAGGGTTTGACTTTGTTTTCTTCTTCCAAGCTCATGCAGGACTTTGATCTCCAAAGATTTATGTTAATGGTATTAAGAGGGTGGAAACTTGATCCAGAAATGGCATTTAGAGGTGGAGCCTTTGGTGATTAGATTAGATGAGGTCCATAGGGTGGAAATCCCATGATTAAATCTCAGTGATTTCATAAGAGGCAGAGAGGTCACACAGACACAATACACACTCACTTCCACCATAATGTGAGTCGTCCAGGGGCTGCACACATCCCTCTTTGAACTTCTAGCCTCCAAAACTGTGAGCTAAATAAACCTTTCTTCTCTATAAAGCAGCTTGCATCAAGGACTTTGTTATAGTAACAAAAAGCAGGTTAATACACCTCTCACCACTTAGCCATCCCCAGGGCTGCCTCCTCCTCCCAGCAGAAGTCACACAGGTATGCACACAGAGAAACTGGCTAATGTTTGACCATGGCAGTGCCTGGGGTGAGAGTTCTGATGGAACACTTCACATCAATGACCACTTCTTTTTGTACCAGAAACCAAACTCACAACCTTGCACTTGCCAGGCAGGTGTTGTGCTGCTGAGCTATATCCCTGGCCCTCAGTGACCATTTAAAAATTGTAAACAAAGCTGCCATGTTGGAACAAATTGTTAAATGGATCACTCCAACCTTCATGATGAGCTAGCAACCCAAGCTCAAAACCAGAGTTCTCGAGTTCATGCTCAAGTGTGTTGTGTCGCCAGTTCTACTCCCCAACCCCAGGGGCCACCTGCTACCCTCTCCACCTGCCATCCCCTGCCTTGCCTGTATACTGGGGGCCTCCACGCTCTGGGTACTCCCTCTGCCAACAAATGCCCCAGGGCCTGGGGATGGGCACCCAGGCACGCTGTGACCAGGAAGGGCCCATGAAGGCCCTGCAGG